AGTCAACATTAAAGGGTTACTCCAAGCACCGTGATCACTTCAGCAATCTAAAGTGGTCATGGTGCAAGGAACCTGTGTGTGCAATGTTTCCGTATGAAACGCTACACATACAGGGATATTTAGGTTAACTGCCTGTGGTGTAATTCCAATGGCGGTGTCCATTGCCTGTCTTGATTGGCATAAATTTAGTTGATGGGATCTGCACTTCCTTGTATTTTCATGTCTCAATTGCGTTTTCTGTGATTAAAGGACCACTCTAGGCACCCAGACCACTTCAGCTTAATGAAGTGGTCTGGGTGCCAGGTCCCTCTAGGATTAACCCTTTTTTTTAATAAACAATCCAGCCTCCAAACCCTCTAGTGGCTGTCTCATTGACAGCCGCTAGAGGCGTTTGCGTGCTTCTCACTGTGAAAATCACAGTGAGAACACGCAAGCGTCCATAGGAAAGCATTGTAAATGCTTTCCTATGAGACCGGCTGAATGTGCGCAGCTCTTGCCGCGCGTGCGCATTCAGCCAAAAGGGAGGAAAGGAGGCGGAGAGGAGGAGGAGAGCTCCCCACCCAACACTGGAAAAAGTGATAAGTTTAACCCCTTCCTCTCCATCCAGCCCGGCGGGAGGGGGACCAGTGGTGTATCCTGGTTTTGTGCTGCCCTAGGCAGGATAAAACTCAGGCGCCCCCCTACCCCCGTGCCACCCCCACCCAACCCTTCCCCCCCGCCCCACCTTCTAAATACACACACACACAGTCAGACAGACACAAACACACAGTCAGACACAAATACACACACAGTCAGACACATACACACACACAGTCAGACACATACACAGACACAAACACAGTCACAAACACACACACAGTCAGACACAAACACACACAGTCAGACACAAACACACACACAGTCAGACACAAACACACACACAGACACATACACAGACACAAACACAAACACAGTCAGACACAAACACACACACAGTCAGACACAAACACACACACACACACACAAACAACACAAATAGCACACACAGTCAGACACAAACACAGAGACAAACAAAGTCAGACACAGAGACACAAACACACACAGTCAGACACAAACACAACACAGTCAGACACAAACACACACACACAGTCAGACACACACAGACACAAACACAGTCAGACACAAACACAGTCAGACACACACAGTCAGACACAAACACACACACACACACAGTCAGACACAAACACACACAGTCAGACACACACACAGTCAGACAAACACACACACACACAGTTAGACACACACACACACACAGTCAGACACATACACAGACACAAACACAGTCAGACACAAACACACACACACACACACACAGTCAGACACAAACACACACACAGTCAGACACAAACACACAGTCAGACACAAACACAGGGCCAGTGCAAAGAATTTGGGGTACATAGGCGAAGATGCATTTTTCCGCCCCCCCAAAAACATATTCGCCCATGTGCCTCTTAACACGCGGGAGCCGGAATATGACGTCATCAGTAAACAGCCTGCGAGGGAGCAGATCAGAGAGATCAGAGCTCCCTCGCCACCTCGGCATCCAATTCAGTCGCACGCCGCACCGGGGATCCAGGAGGTGACCTGGCAGGAGGGAGCAGTTCCCTCCTGCCGGTCACTGGAATTTTGCGCCCCCTGAGTAGGTGCGCCCTAAGGCGGCTGCCTGTGCCGCCTTATGGACGCGCCGGCCCTGCACAAACACACACACAGTCAGACACACACACAGTCATACACACACACAATCCCTCACATTAACTTTTTTTTAATTTAAACTCCCCCCCCCAGCCTCCTTACCTTACCTTTGGGAGTGCTGGGGGGGGAGGGTTCTCTCTTTGTCCCTGGTGGTCCAGTGGCTGCCGGTCGGACTGGGCGGCGCTGGGCTGTGCGGGCGGCTGGCGAGGGAGATCTTCCTCTGAGCGGTCTGCTCAGCTTCCTCGCGTGCCGCAGAGTGAGGTTGGGAGCCGGAATATGACGTCATCTTCCGGCTCCCAACCTCACTCTGAGGCGCGCGAGGGAGCTGAGCAGACCGCTCAAGTATGTTTTCCTGGCACTATACTGGTCCTTTAATACAAAAACAGAAACATGACAGCATTTTGTTATTGAAGTTCATACTATACTTCAACTATAAGTTTTTCTTCTTTCTTAGAAATTCCTCTTTGCCCATGCCGATACTGAGCGTCACTGGATTGGTCTAAATGATATTGAAGATGAAGGTACATGGACATGGATAGATGGAGCAAACTACAGTGCATCGGTTCAGTACGTATGCCTAATATATGATCTTACGTTTAAAGAGACACTATAATTGACAAAACTACGTTAGTTTAATGAGCAGTTTTTTTGTGTGTGTAGATCATGCCTCTGAAGTCTCACTGCTCAGTTATCATTTAGGAGTTAAAATCATGAATTCCTAGACACACCTCCCCTGGCTGCGACTCGCACAGCCTGCATTAAATAAAAAAATGTATTTTGAATCAGATGTTAACTTACGTTAAAAGTTTTTATCTCCTACTCTGTAAATTGATCTTTAATCACATACAGGAGGCAATCTATTGCATTTTCTGTTTCATTTAGAAATTAATAACAGGAAGCGTTTAGGAAGGCTGTGCAGTTACATACAGGAAAGTGTGACTAGGACAGCTTAAACAAGGCGATTTAAGGCCTAAATGGCAGAGAACTGAGCATTGAGACTGCATAGGCATGATCTATACACCAAAACGTCTCATTAATCTAAAGTTGTTTTGGTGTCTATAGTATTCCTCTAATATCATATGAAACACAGACTTGCTTTATAGTACATTTTTACTAATAGTTCTCTCCACACCATGTGGTGTAGACACATATCCTACTTAATTTTATGCTAGTAGTTCACTATTATTTAGGAAGAAGAAACATTTTTTGAATCAGAAGACCGTACTTAGCAATAATGAGGTGTTATTAATATAATCAGCAGTTGAGATTGCAGATCTCTCTCCACCTGCATCATGTTCGGTGTGACACTTAGCACAATGATCTCCCCTAGATATACTGTGTGTGTAGAGTAATAAAGTCATGGCTCCCTGCACCCATAAAATCACTGGAAATGGGCTAAAAGATTCATGTTATCTAACCACTGTAAGTGTGCTATAATTGAAAGTAAATGTCACAAATGCCCCATTTACTTGGAGGTAAAATTTTTGCTTATAAAAAGGGTGCCTGGGCAATACTGAGCAAATTTACAAAGGTCGGACAAGCGCTAAGAGTTCTTAAGGAGGTCAGCTGCAGACAGCAAATACTTTCAATACTCCACAAAATAGACAAGTGTTACAAAAATAGGTTGTGCCATATAAACATTAATAAAATATAAAAATAGAATAAAAATAGAATAAATAATAATGGAATTTTGAGTTTTAATAAAACTCTTTTGACTTGTGAGTGCATTTAGTTGGCACTTTATATCTGAAATATTACACTATTGCATTTTATATTGTCATTACATATTCTTCAATGTGAATCACTACAGTTACCATATCCACACTTATATATACCAGTGGAGATTATACCACGACACACTGTAATTACTAGAGATTGTATGAAAGCTCTATATCACATGAGTGAGCACTTTCACACTTTGCTGTTTGTTATTCAGTCACTGTGATAAATACTACACTATCAGTAGCTTTTTTTTTCTCTTTTGCTTTTCTCACATACCCAGTGAGGAAGAACCAAAGTCCATAGGGATCAAGGTCATTAGAAGAAAGTTTGGGCTATATTTATTATTAATACAAAAAAAAGTCCTGCGCTCACTCCCATCACTCCTGGGTGGCAGCAACGACCACAGTCCACATCAGCTCCAATACATACAGTAAAAAGAAAAGAAAAAGTTTCCTGGGCTCTCTCCTAAATCCCTATGTATATTTAAACAAATGGAGGTCATTTAATTACTCCAATGGCCATTGGAAGGAATGCCCGCCTGCCAACGTCAAGGCAGACTCCCTTAAAGCGGGTTCTACACTGACCCTTCAGCCTGCTTCCTTGAGCTTCTGGCAAAGATATCTCTAATGAGACAGAAAGGGGTATTTTTATATATACACCCCTATATACTTATTAACCCTTAATAGGGAACACATGGGATGGGCAGAGGCATAGATAATGTTTCCAGTTCAGCTACTTTGACCTTAAATTTAAAATTCAATCTTACTATAGTAAATAAACCTCAGTGTCCCACATAGTTAACTCTTCAGCTGTCAATAAAGATTGTGATGGAAACTCCGATGCTCCTGGCACTGGCTCTTCAGAGAGTTCAGAGAAGGGCTACTAAACTGGTTCATGGATTGCGGGATAAAACTTACCAGGAAAGGTTAAAGGATCTTAACATGTATAGCTTGGAGGAAAGACGAGACAGGGGGGATATGATAGAAACATTTAAATATATAAAGGGAATCAACACAGTAAAGGAGGAGACTATTTAAAAGAAGAAAAACTACCACAACAAGAGGACATAGTCTTAAATTAGAGGGACAAAGGTTTAAAAAATAATATCAGGAAGTATTACTTTACTGAGAGGGTAGTGGATGCATGGAATAGCCTTCCAGCTGAAGTGGTAGAGGTTAACACAGTAAAGGAGTTTAAGCATGCGTGGGATAGGCATAAGGCTATCCTAACTATAAGATAAGGCTAGGGACTAATGAAAGTATTTAGAAAACTGGGCAGACTAGATGGGCCGAATGGTTCTTACCTGCCGTCACATTCTATGTTTCTATGTTTCTTGGAAAGGATTACAGGCCAGTCTCCTGACTTTTAAAGGGGCTATTGTTACTGTGAGGAGTGGTATGGGGGTGCTGGATGCTTATTCTGCTTCCTAGCCAGCATTGAGAACCTCTGGGAATTGGATGGACTCATCCTATGCATAGAAACATAGAAACATAGAATGTGACGGCAGATAAGAACCATTCGGCCCATCTAGTCTGCCCAATTTTCTAAAAACTTTCATTAGTCCCTAGCCTTATCTTATAGTTAAGATAGCCTTATGCCTATCCCATGCATGCTTAAACTCCTTTACTGTGTTAACCTCTACCACTTCAGCTGGAAGGCTATTCCATGCATCCACTACCCTCTCAGTAAAGTAATACTTCCTGATATTATTTTTAAACCTTTGTCCCTCTAATTTAAGACTATGTCCTCTTGTTGTGGTAGTTTTTCTTCTTTTAAATATAGTCTCCTCCTTTACTGTGTTGATTCCCTTTATATATTTAAATGTTTCTATCATATCCCCCCTGTCTCGTCTTTCCTCCAAGCTATACATGTTAAGATCCTTTAACCTTTCCTGGTAAGTTTTATCCCGCAATCCATGAACCAGTTTAGTAGCCCTTCTCTGAACCCTCTCTAAGGTATCAATATCCTTCTGAAGATACGGTCTCCAGTACTGTGTACAATACTCCAAGTGAGGTCTCACCAGTGTTCTGTACAATGGCATGAGCACTTCCCTCTTTCTACTGCTAATACCTCTCCCTATACAACCAAGCATTCTGCTAGCATTTCCTGCTGCTCTATTACATTGTCTGCCTACCTTTAAGTCATCAGAAATAATCACCCCTAAATCCCTTTCCTCATATGTTGAGGTTAGGACTCTATCAAATATTCTGTACTCTGCCCTTGGGTTTTTACGTCCAAGATGCATTATCTTGCACTTATCCACATTAAATGTCAGTTGCCACAATTCTGACCATTTTTCTAGTTTACCTAAATCATTTGTCATTTGGCTTATCCCTCCTGGAACATCAACCCTGTTACATATCTTAGTATCATCAGCAAAAAGACATACCTTACCATCAAGACCTTCTGCAATATCACTAATAAAAATATTAAAGAGAATGGGTCCAAGTACAGATCCCTGAGGTACCCCACTGGTGACAAGTCCAAGCTTTGAATATATTCCATTAACTACAACCCTCTGTTGCCTGTCACTCAGCCACTGCCTTACCCATTCAACAATATTGGAATCCAAACTTAAAGATTGCAGTTTATTGATAAGTCCTTCTATGTGCAACAGTGTCAAAAGCCTTACTGAAATCTAGGTAAGCAATGTCTACTGCACCACCCTGATCTATAATTTTAGTTACCCAATCAAAAAAATCAATAAGATTAGTTTGGCATGATCTCCCTGAAGTAAACCCATGTTGTCTCTGATCTTGAAATCCATGTGTTTTTAGATGTTCATCAATCCTATCCTTTAACATGGTTTCCATCACTTTCCCCACTACTGAAGTAAGGCTTACTGGCCTATAGTTGCCCGACTCCTCCCTATTACCTTTCTTGTAAATGGGCACAACATTCGCTAACTTCCAATCTTCTGGGACTACTCCTGTTAACAATGATTGGTTAAATAAATCTGTTAATGGTTTTGCTAGTACACCACTAAGCTCTTTTAATAGCTTTGGGTGTATTCCATCAGGTCCCATTGACTTATTTGTCTTTACTTTTGACAGTTGAAATAGAACCTCTTCCTCTGTAAACTCACGTGTAATAAATGACTCATTTATCCTTTTTCTCAACTGAGGTCCCTTTCCTTCATTTTCTTCTGTAAATACAGAACAAAAATATTCATTGAGGCAGTCAGCCTGGCCTTTATCCTCTTCTACATACCTTCCTTCTTTTGTTTTTAATCTAACTAATCCTTGTTTTACTTTTCTTTTCTCATTTATGTATCTAAAAAATGTTTTATCCCCCTTTTTTACTGACTGTGCTATTTTCTCTTCTGTGTGTGATTTGGAAGCTCTTATAACTTGCTTAGCCTCTTTCTGCCTAATCTTATAGATCATTTTGTCTCCCTCACTCTGGGTTTTTTTATAATTCCTAAATGCTAACTTTTTGTTTTTAACTATTTTGGCCACATCTGCGGAGTACCACAATGGTTTCTTGAATTTTTTGCTTTTACTGACCAGCCTAATGCAATTTTCTGTTGCCTTCAATAGAGCAACTTTTAAATAATCCCATTTTTCTTGGACTCCATTTAAATTGCTCCAGTCTGATAATGACTCCTCTACCCATATTCTAATTTTATTAAAGTCTGTTTTTCTAAAGTCTAAAACGGGGAGATACCATGAATCACTCTGGAACTGTTCACCAGATTGGTACTATAACTGTTTCTTCATAGGAAAGCACAGTCTTTTATACACAGACCCCCGACATGAGGTCCCTATTCAAACCAGGGTAAGCTTGCCCTGGTGCCACTGTGTCTGGGAGATAATTGAGTTAGCCCTCGCTTAAGCTAATTATATCCCGGATACAGAGGACACAACTTAAAATAACCCCCAAAACACACAAAAACAAGCAGGAACCCCAACACATCATATATCTCTGGATAACTCTGATCTGAGTGCCCGGATCCATGGAGAATAGACTGATTTCCACCAGGGTAAAGATTTTACCGGCCGGTAACAAAATTCATAACGAACTTAGTTCCAGAGTGAGAATCTCTTTGTCCGGTCAATGAAGGGAGCTTCTGTAGACAAACAAAGGGAGGCTCCTCCTGGCTCTCAGGGGGCGATTGTTCCTTTCTGTCCTTAGTACCTCCCCTCCAAAGAGTGCTTTCCTGGCAGGTCAGGAAGTGGGGTAATACCAAGGTAAAAGTTGGCAGAGAAACGTGAAGTAGTTCCATGCGATTACTACCAGGCCCCACTCGGGACCTCGTGGCTCTCTGGAATCAAATGCCTGCCAGGGAGGAGGTGCTCTCGGTTGTTTAGTATGAATGGGGAAAACACAGAGCCACGAGTAGTGAAATAGCTCCTTAATGAACAGAAGGGAGGAAAATAATACACGGTTTGCCACAATCACCACATGCGTGGAATTCCTTGTCCGATCAGAGAATAGCCACCACTTTAACATGCTGTAGCTCGGGCGCAGATTCTCTGATTATGGTGCTATTTTGACAGTGAGAGTGCGCGGTGACTAGCTATCCTATTGTTTTAGCTGAGGCTAACTTAATTATGTCCCCAGACAATTTTGGCACAGGGGAGGGACTATTCTACTGTACATCACATTGTATGGAGGACCCCTGCAGAGGGAATCCACACTTCTCCTTATAAAGAGCTGTGTTGTGTGCAATAAAGGTATTTCTACCCCCAACATTCAGTCTCAACTAATGTGGGGGACAAAAGCTATAATTTTGGCTTTATTGGAGAGAAGGTCTGCTGAAGAGAGAGATATAATTGCTGCATAACGTCATTTGAGTAGTATTAAAATGACTAACGGTTTTGTTTACTAATATACTATTATAAAGAAATACTGTATATCTTCACACTTTTTCTTCTAAATACGGTAGTGTGATAATTGTTTGTCTGTCCTCAATTTGCAGATTCTGGAAGAAAGGAGAGCCTAATGATTATGGTAAAAATGAAGACTGTGCCCTGTTACACACGACTGGAGAATGGAATGATATGCCTTGCACGTTTACAGACTCGTACGCTATTTGTGAAAGAAAATTACTGTGAGCTCTTATTCTCTAAATGACCATATGCAGTGGGTAACATTTTGCCATTTTCCATAAATAGATGTATTTATAGATATATTCACTATAGAGTTTTATATATATATTTGTATTAATACATAACCTTGTTTCTAGTTCAGGTGTCTTATTTTTTTTGTATATTTGGTTTACTAAAAATTCTGCTTTTGTTCCATACATACACGCAAAAAAAAAAATATGATCCACAAAAGATTGTATGTAAATATAAAATACAAAAGCTTGCCAATGATACCACACACTCAATAATAAAGAATTTAATCTATTTCATAAAAAAACAACCTTATTTTGATCTGTCATGACATAGTGTAAAATAAGCCTGCATGCTTGATATCTGACCCAATGCGCAAAAAAAAACCCTATCTAAAAACAATGAGTTATTCAATAAATAGCGGAATGCCCTCCTAAGTTGTATCTATATGTATATGTGTGCTCTGTATGAGTCAGTCTGTGTGTGTCTGTATGGTCAGTGTGTGTGAGGTGAAGTGTGGGTGGAGGTCAGTGTGTGTGGGTCAATCTGTGTGTGTATATGAGTCAGCCGGTGTGTGGGGTCAGTGTGTGTGGGTCAATCTGTGTGTGTTTATGGGGTGGGGTCAGTGTGGGTGTACAGGTCAATCTGTGTGTGTACATTAGTCTGTGTGGTGGGGGGTCAGTGTGTATGGGTCAGTCTGTGTGTATGAGTCAATCTGTGTGTGTGGGTAGGTCGGTCTGTGTGTGGGTCAGTCTGTGTATGAGCCTATCTCTGTGTGTGGGTCAGTCTGTATGTGTGGGTCAGTGTGTGTGTGAGGGGGTCAATCTGTGAGTGTGTATGTGTGTGTGTGTGTGTATGGATCAGTATGTGTAAGTGCTGGAGCTCCAGGTGAGATACCTCTCATCTTGTGACCCAATGAGCAAGTGTCTTCAGGG